TCACTACGGGTCGGAATTGACTCCACGGCAGCAGGTTTTTTGGTTTTGGTTGTAAGTGCAATGAAGGAAGGGCATCTGAACTGTGAGAATGGATAATGGGGGCCTGGTTACTTTTGTGGTCAGAGAATACTGTCTTGAGGAGGTGACATTTGAAGTGTAATTCACATGCAATAAAATGCATCCATTTTAAGTGTACAGATAGATGAGTTTTGACAAATCTATGTAACTGCCACTACATTAAAGACAGAGTTCTGTTATCCCCAAAAGCTTTCTAGTGCCTTCTTTTCTTACCATTTTTAAATTGTTTGTCTTTTTACTAATGATTTGTAGCAGGTTTTTTATGTATTCTGGATACAAGTCTTTTGTTGGTTATATATATTGCAAATATATTCTCCCAGTTTGAAAATTACCTTTTTATTCTCTTAATGGTGTCTTTGGATGAACACAGTTCATAATTTAAATGAAGCCCAATTTATGAATCTTTTCTTTTATGGGCAATTCTTACTGTATCTTGTTCAGGAAATATTTTCCTGTCACAAAGATATTTGCCTACATTTTCTTCTAGAAGTTTGTTTATCCATGATCCATCGCAAATTTATTTATGAATGATCTCAGCTAGGATTCAAGGTTCAGTTTTTTCTTGCATGATATTCAGTTGATCTAGCGCCATTTATTGGAAATATTTTCCTTTCCTCATTGAATGTAACTTGTTCTGTTGTAAGATGACTGTATGTGTGGAGCTGTTTCTCAACTCTGTTCTATGCCGTTGATCTATTTGTCTGTCCTTGCATTAACCACATTCTCTAGTAATTGTAGCTTTATAGTAAGTATTCATATCTGACAGTGTTGTTCAGGACTGTCCTGGCTATTCTAAGTCTTTGCATTTCTGTATAAATTTTATTTATTTAATTTTTTAAAATTGTACTTTAGATGAAGGCTTACAAAGCAAACTGGTTTCTCATTAAACAGTTAATACATATATTGTTTTGTGACATTGGTTGCCAACTGCTTGACATGGCAACACTCTCCCCTTCTTGACCTTGGGTTCCCCATTACCCGCTCTCCTGTCCCAACCTGCCTTCTCATCCTTGCCCCTGGGCTGGTGTGCCCATTTAGTCTCATTTTGTTTTATGGGCCTGTCTAATCTTTGGCTGAAGAGTGAACCTCAGGAGTGACTTCATTATTGAGCTATAAGGGTGTTGCGGGGGGCCATACTCTTGAGGTTTCTCCAGTCTCTGTCAGACCAGTGCAAGTCTGGTCTTTTTTTTTTGTGAGTTAGAATTTTGTTCTCCATTTTTCTCCAGCTCTGTCCAGGACCCTCTATTGTGATCCCTGTCAGAGCAGTCAGTGGTGGTAGCTGAGTACCATCTAATTGTGCTGGACTCTGTCTGGTGGAGGCTGTCTGTATAAATTTTAGAATCAGCTGGTAAATTTATGCCCAAAACCTGCTGAGATTTTGTTATGGGATTGCATTAAATCTCTAGTCAACATGAGGGAAATGAAATCTTCACAATACTGAGTCTTCCAGTTGATGAATATGGGATATCGTCTCCGTTTAGTCAGACGCTGAGCAGTGTTTCAGTGTAGAGGTATTGTATATCTCTTGTTAGATTTATTCGTAGCTATTAGTTATTTTTGATGCTATTATCAGTGCTATTGATTTTAAAGTCTGATTTTCTGTTTGTTAGAAGCATGTAGAAATACAGTCGGTTTTTATATGTTGACCTTTTATCCAGCTACCTATGTGCCTTTTTCTATTTTCTGTTATTTCTCTTGGTTGTCCATTCTTTTTTAAAAAAATTGAGATAAAATTCACATAACATAAAATTCATCACTTTAACTATTTTAAAGTGTGTAATTCAGTGGTTTTTAGTATACTCACAATGCTGTGAAACCAGCACCATTGTCTAATTCCGGAACATTTCCATCACCCCAACAGAAACTCTGTACCTGTTAATAGTCAATCCCAGTTTCTCCTCTTTCATCCATCCCCTGACAGCCAACCACTTTCTGTCTTTATGGATTTGCCTATTCTGGATATTTCATAAAAATGGAATCATATAATACGTGGCCTTTTGTATCAGGCTTCTTTCATTTAGCATAATGTTTTCAAGGTTCATCTATGTTGTAGCATTAGTACATTTCTTTTTATGACTCAATAATATTCCATTGTATGGCTGTATACCACATTTTGTTTATCCGTTCATTGGTGGACATTTGGGTTGTTTCTACTTTCTGGCTCTTATGAATAATGCTCCTATGATCATTCATGTACATGTTTTTGTGTGGCTGTATGTTTTCAATTCTTTTGGGTATATATACCTAGGAGTAGAATTGCCAGGTCATTTGGTAACTCTGTGGTTAACTTTTTCAGGAACTGCCAAATGTTATCCACAGCATCTGCACCATCAGTGTGTATGAATGATTCAATTTCTTTCTATTCTCACCAACACTTGTTATTTTTTGTGTTTTTGTTTTCTTATTATAGCCATCCTAGTGGGTGTCAGCCATTTAGTCTTGTTTTTTTTAAATGCCTTATAAGTTTTGATAGAATGTCAGACATTGTGAACGAACAATTGTAGAAGCTCTAGTTGGTGTTATTTCTTTAAAGAGGGTTAAGTTTTTCTTTTGGTAGGCAAAGTAGTACTTGGAGATCACCTTCAAACTGTTGAGAGTTGATTGTAAACTTTGTTAGGGCTGATGTATTTCAATTTTGCTGTTAGTCCTAAGGAGAGGCCCTTTTGAACTTTCAGCACAGAACTTGAGTTGTTCATGAAGGTATCTAACATGGGGCTTACACTCCAACATTTGTCTCTAGCATGAGGCAGCATCTAAAATCTGTGCTCATCTCTTTAGCCTCCTAATTGCTGTTCTCTGCTGGTTTTCTTGAATTTCCCCCGTATTTGTGGTTTTCCTCTTTGGAATTTTGTCCCTTAGTTTCTAGCTCTCTGGTGGCCAAAAATTGACTTTTTTTCTCCTCAGTCCAGTAGGACTGCTGCTTTCTCCTTGAGCTCTATTCCTCTGTTACACAGCAGAGTCAGAAAAAAGCCAAAGTAGTTGTGGAGCTGATCTTACAAACTTCCTTTCTTTTAAGAGTCATAGCCCACTTAACTCCTGCCTGTTTTAGTTGCTCTCCAATGCCTTCAAACAGTTTTTTACATTTTATTTAGATTTTATAATTTTTATTGTCAGGAGAGTTAGTTTGATACAAGCTAGTCCATGATGATGGGAACTGTGAATAATGATGTTTTACAAATTGAGTCACAAGAAAATGAAAGCCTGATGCCTATTGAGAGTGAGAACATGAGTTTTCAACAGATGAGAGAATATTTGGACTAATATGTAGGAGGAAGAATTTTCATTTTCGAACAAACACATCAGGGTCAGCCAGGTTTGAAGGATGATAACAAATAAAAGATAATTAAAAGTAAGATGTGACACTGGCTTAGTTTGATGTAGGTATGTTTGTTTTTAAACTGAATAAGGTTATTAACTGTTTAAATAATACAAGTTGGGTAAAGAATTTAATGTGAGAATTGAAGTGTTAATGCTGATTTTTTAGAAAATATTTAGTACGGAAGAGTTATTGTTTGGTTGTAGTTAGTGATGAAATTAAGATTTAAATGGTGTTACTAGAATACCCAAAACCAAACCCCTTGCCATCGAGTCAGTTCTGACTCATAGCGACCCTGTAGGACAGAGTAGAGCTGCCCTGTAACATTTCCAAGGGTGTAATCTTTACGGCAGCAGACTGTCACGTCTTTCTCCTGGTTAGTAGCTGGTGGGTTCGAACTGCTGACCTTTCGGTTAGCAGCCGAGTGCTTTAACCACTGCACCACCAGGACTCCTTGCTGTTAGAATAGTACTTGGTTATTTCTGCAGGTAACCAAGTTATTTCTTTTAGTGCTTATTAAATGGCTGGAGGTTTCAGTGTTTACATGTGATGGCCGAAGAACAATGTATAGTATATGTTAAGTGTGCCAGAGAGAATTGTGTTCATATATCTGGAAAAGTACAGATTAAAATTACTAACTGGCCATCGGAAACTATGGAAGGAAGAGCATGACTGAAGTTAGAGGAATGGATTTTATGTTTAGAACATAGAGAAGTACAGAAAGAAGGCAGAAATACATCTGTGGGAAAAATGATGCCTCCCTATCCTGCAGGCTTACGAATGGGAGTTTGGAAAGAAACTAACCATTTGCTTTTTCCACCAAAATATCCCTAGGAAGAGAGCCAGGTGTTGGAGACCACCTTGTATCTCTGTTTTTCCTTTTGCCCTTTTTTGAACTCTCAAGGTTAGTCAGTTATTTTCTTCACAATTTCATTAGGAAATTTGCCAAAGGCATCCTTTTGAGGCAGCTGTCTCTGCACCCTTGGAGGCCATCAGTAATGTTTCCAATCTATAGGAGTAGTCAGCACAAAAATGTTGGACTAAGCTCGAGCTGGGTCTTCGTGTTTTTTTAAAATACTCCCTTGCCCACCACTTTTTTCCCCTCAAACAGTATAAAATAAATATTTTGAGGCTTCTGATCCTTCTGTTTTTTGTTACTGTACCTTTCAGGTAAAATCCATCATTAGTAAAAATATATCTATACATATTAGTATAACCGATAAAAAGAGATTTAATTTTTAAATGCAATTAAAATAATAATGGATTCATTATGGCTCTTTAATATACAAATAAGTATTGTTTTTGTACAGAATGTTAAAAATTTCATTTTTACTATTGAGGTGGTATAAAGTAAAATATGCTTTAATCATGGTGTTCTTTTGGTCTGAGGTGCTTCTATGCTGCCTTCATGTTAATCATCTTGTGAAGTTTGGGAGGATATTAAATAATGATGTTAATAAGTCCATGATTAAAATGCATTAGAATAAATTGAAATACATTTGTGTTTTTGTTTCTATCCAGTTTAATAATATAGGCAACTGTTATACCATATGCATCTTTAATATATTTGTCTGTTTCTCTTGTTTACTAAACTGTCTCCTTTCAGCCACCCACACAGAATATGCCTATGGGTCTTGGAGGGATGAATCAGAGCGGCCCTCCCCCACCTCCTCGTTCTCACAACATGTCTTCAGATGGAATCGTAGGTGGGGGTCCTCCTGCACCACACATGCAGAACCAGATGAACGGCCAGATGCCTGGTAAGTTTTTCTCCTCTAAGACATTAACACCAGAGTTGCTTAGCAACTGAAACGACATGGGGGCTCAAGGGATACTAGATTGTTGATGACAAAACTGCTTTGAATGCCCCCGAGTACAAGCTCTCTTAGAGTTTGTTAGCTACAGAGCTACGTGACCTGTATTCAGTGTTTATCAGGCTGCCCTTGGGCTTTGATGTAGCTGACACACAGCATTCCTCTGATGAACAGAACTCGCTAAATTTAGTCTGTCTGAAACTATGCAATACAGCTGGCTTTAGAAGGTTTTTGGAAAAAATGCATAGCACCATAGCTTAAGATTTAAAATCTGTTTATAAAAAGGTACTACAACATTTCCCTTTAGTTTTATATTTACATAAGCATTTATTAATCTCAGAAACGGTATCATTGGAAACAGTACACCAGAAATAGAAACAAAACACTCTCTGAAGTGCTAATATACTTAGTATTTCCTCATTGATAGTATAGATTTTTATGAATACCTGTTTATAGCATAATGAATATGGAAATTGATCTTACTCTATGCTTTCTTATATAATGAGCCAAACTCCCTTTAATATTTATCCACTTTAAGTTTTGAGCTACTAGAATATCTTCCAGGCCATTGAATGCTTATTTAGTTACCTTTTGCTGGTTTGAATTTTTAATCTGAAAAATACTTTAAACTATTCTGTTTTTGTAACAGTAGCAACAACCTGTACCCATAATTTTTAGTGTCTAGTACTTGCTACATTAAATATGAGAATATTTTTACTTTCTAAAGATGAGTTACTTTTGTTATCAAAAAGAATATAGTATATAAATAGCAATAGTAGAAATAATTAAAATCACAGAACAATTTATTTTTAAAATTAGTAATTTACATTCTTATGATAGTGTCTTCTCTAGCTGATATGTTGAGATGGTAACATTGGTGTTCAGAGATGACGGATATAGAAAAAGAAGAAAAGAGAGCACATTCTGTGGTTGGAGGCATGGTAGCCTGGTTTATAGAAGACTGAAGTGGTGTTTCAGTGGTTATTTCCTATTTCTTGCTAAGGCTTGCAACATCCATGACCCACACCCAGTATGGTGGTAGGAATAAAGACATAGCTACTTTTGAGGTTGTAGTCAGGAAAAAGCTTCTTGCTGAATCCACATTTAGCTCATCAGGACATGTTATTTTTAAAACTGGAAGGATACTGTTAGTGCAGGTTAGCAAGCTAGGTGTTGTGTGACTTTTTATGGTAGTAGCTTTAATTACAATTTTGACTTAACTTCTCCATGCCAACACTTGAGCCTAAGACCCAAGAGCAGCAATGCAGTTATTGATAACTTAACATTATGCTTTTTGTGTAATGACATCTGGAATAGTTATATTCTTTTATAAGCCAGATATTATTAACCTGTTATGACTCAGGTTATCTAGAATACTGTATGGCTTCCAAAGTATTTATAGTTGGAGAGTTATAGTTAGGTGTAGGAGAAATTAGAAGCTTAGTAACTTATTTTCTTTATTTGATAAGTTCCTTATAGCATTTAGCCAACATTTTTATGCACACCAATTTACATCTAGGCTCTGAATTTCCAAATTTAGTCTTATTATTTTATTTTATAATCTAAGTGGCAGAGCTACTTATGCTGTTTGATCTTGGACAAATAATCTCTCAATCTTAGTTTCTGCCTTTTTAAAACAGTTAGTTGATTTTTTAAAAACTAGATTATGCCTGCGTATGTTATCAACGTCAAAAGGTCCCAAAGAGTATACAGTAGATCTGTCTCTCTAGACACTTAGTTTTAGAGAGGCATTGGCTTCTAATTGTCCTTCCAAAGATTTTCTCTGTATATAAAGGCGTGCATATATACATTTCTTGTTCTTTCTTCTCCTCCTCCACGTTGTTGTTTTTCTTCTTCAACACAAATTGTAGCATGTATTGAATACTATTGTGTATCTTTTTTCCCCCCTCTTAAAGATATATCTCAGAGACCATCATTCCACTTAGTATATAAAGAGCTTGCCTCTTATTTTGGTAATTGCATCACATTCTTTTTTATGAGCATACTCTTAATTTAATTGAACAGTTCCCTTATGGTGGAAATATAGGTTGTGTCTGGTCTTTTGCTATTATAAATTATGCTGCCATGGATATATAATGTATATAATATAAATATATACATAATATATATTATGTTTATATATAATATTTGTAGACACATTTATATATAAGTACGTGTTTGTATGTGTGTTAAAATTTGATAGTTTATTTATATTTAAGTTTCCTCAACAATGTATCAGAATGCTTTTTTTCTCCATAATGCTGTTGGATCCAAACTTTGATCTTTGCAAATCGGAGAAATGAAGAGGATTGTATAGTTTTAATTTGCCTTTCTGTTACAAGTGAAGCAGTCAGTCTTTTTCATGTATATGAGCCCTTTTGCGGTTTCTGTGTGAAATGGTCTTTCATGTCCTTTGTTCATTCTTTTACTGGTGGTGGTCTTTTACTTTATATACTAAGTAATCAGTTCAGCCTGTATGTCTTGTAAATGATTTTCCCCCAGTTAATCTTATTACAATTTTCTTTTTTTGCTCATGTACAGTTTTTGATTTTTATGTTATCTAACTTATCAGCTTTTTATGGCTGTGAGTTTTCTGGCATAGTTAAGGCCCTTCTACTCTAAGATTATTAAATATTTCTCTCATAGATTGTAGTACTTTTATGCTTTCTCTTCTTTTTTTTTTTTTTTAAATGTTTAAATTTTTTATCCATCTGGAATTAGTTTTGGTGGAAGGACTAAGGTAGGGATCCAGCCTAGTTTTTTCTGGATGGCTACCCACTTGTCACCATTTATTGAATTGTCTTTCTTTTACCCACTGATACTTAATATCACCACTGTTATCATCTACTAAATTATGCATTGGGGTCTGTGTTTTAGACTCTGTTCTGGTCCATTGATCTGTTAATCAATTCATTTATGTGCTAGTTCTACATTTACTTATTCCAGCTTTATGATATGTTTTACTCTCTTATAAAGCTGGTTCTCCCTTATTACTCTTCTTTTTCAGAATGTTCCTGGCTTTTCAGCATCAGTTTCTTAATCTGTAAAATGGGAATAATAAATAATATCTACCTCACAGGTTTGCTGTCATTCATGTAAAGCATTTACTTTGCTATAAGTTGAATACTAAGTTACTGTCAAATATTATTACATAATGCAAAAAATAGAAAGTTTCTTTAAGTGCTTTTGTATAGACCATCTATTTAACTTTCATATTTTGCTTCTGATCATTTTTCTTCAAAGGTCCTAACCATATGCCTATGCAGGGACCTGGACCCAATCAACTCAGTATGACAAATAGTTCCATGAACATGCCTTCAAGTAGCCATGGATCCATGGGAGGTTATAACCATTCTGTGCCATCATCGCAGAGCATGCCAGTACAGAATCAGATGACAATGAGTCAAGGACAACCAATGGGAAACTACGGCCCCAGACCAAATATGAATATGCAACCCAATCAAGGTAAATAAGCCTTACTTCATTCTTTATTAGGATGCCTTTGAAAGTAAGACAAATTATATCAAGTTGTTAGCTGATATGTAAAAATACAAGTTTGAAATGAGTGACAATCATACCCATATAAAGGGAAAGTTGAGTTTGAAACTAGCTTAAATCTCTCTTTTTTTACATTTAGAAAATAAATTGCTTAATTTGGTTTTTAAAGCCCATTTATTTTTATGTCGATTGGAGTAATTGTCTTTTAGACAGTTTATTTGGGATTCTGTATTGTTGAATCATAGAGCCCTGGTGACAGAATGGTTAAGACCTCAGCTGCTAACAGAAAGGTCGACAGTTCAAATCCACCAGCCGCTCCTCGCAAAACCCTTTGGGGCAGTTCTGCTCTGTCCTGTAGGGTTGCTATGATACAGAATTGACTCGACAGCAATGGGTTTTTATTTTATTGTTGGATTGTTTTTTAAAGCTAATCCACAAATAATGAAATGTTTTGTTAAGAGCTAGAAAACTGAAAAAAATATAATTTAAAGTAAATTTTTTTTTTATGTACTATCTTTGCAAGTGCAGTCTCTTCATGTACATCTACTTCTAGGTTTCGTTTTACTTATTAAGATTGTATTAATTTATATGATTTTCCTTTGATTTATAAGGGTGTTTTCTGATGCTAAGCTTTAGCATTGAAAGGTAATTCTAACATAATTTGCTGTTAGAATGTGCAGTGGAGGTATTGCTGTACTCTTGTCTTCTTAGAGTCCTATGAGTTCATTAAAATTTGCTACTGATCTCTGAATGAAATTGTTATCTTGTTTCTCTTTTAAGTATTCATGTGACTAATAACTAAACACCAGTAAGTGGCACTCTGTTCAGCTAATTGCTTGTTAAAAACATTTGGCATATTGCCAGACTAAATCTATTTAAATTATGAAATGTGGTGAGGTTAAGAGTTTAAAATAGAATTAAATGTATTTGCAATATAGTTGCCTAGATTTTGCTTGTGAAACACAAATCACTAAATTTTGTACCCAGATAAAGGAAGATAATGTTAATCTGTTGATAATATTCTTGATGAAGTAATATATTCTAATTTTAAAATATTATACAGATAACTTTTTCTAATGGTAAATACTGAAAACATAGGGAGAAAAAAGAATAAATTCTCTGAATGTAACTTCACAAAACTGGCCCTTGCTCCATATTTTTTTCCAAGGTTATTTATTGCCCATGATGGAATGTTTTTTCCTTTTTTTTTAATTAGGTCAATTAATGGTTCAAAACAGTAGCAGGATCCAGTCAGTGCTAGATCAGAAAGGAGTTCAGACATTTATCCATACAGTTTGGTTATCAAGAAACTCGATAATGGTTCTGATAGCAACTACAGTGACTGTGGTACACTTCTGAGAACCGTATAGTTAAGAAAAGATAGGGTGTGCACAAAAATGGATGAACAGTATGGTTTGATATGACTCATCATAAGCCATGAAGAAAAAAAATGCAGGAAGCAATGTGCATGTAGAAAATACTGTTTGTGGAAAAAGGAATTGAGATGTTTACAGGAATTTTTGTTCTAAACTTAGGGACCAACTTTTTTTTTTTTTTTTAAATGTCATATTTTGTATTAATGTATAGTTTTTCCTTTTACTTTGGTAATTATATTACTTTTTTGCTTTGTTCTTATAATTTGTGAATTCCTAAATAGAAAATAGAGACTATACAGAAAATTACTATGTAGAGATCTGATTTAAAGAACTAAATGATACGTTTCAAATTAGAGCGTAGGGTAGAATCATTGAGGAAATTTTTAATGTTTTACAAATCTGTCCAGGAAGAAAAAAATTTTACTTAGTTACATTTAAATGTTTCAGAATCAGTTGATCACAGAAGAAAATTACAGTTAAAAAAAAAAGAACAGAAAGAAAGAAAATTGTACAAAGTTCTGTCAACATCCAGTTTTTAAAAAAAATTTTTTTTTTTTAATTGTACTTTAGGTGAAGGTTTACAGAACAAATAGTTTCTTATTGAACAGTCAGTACACATATTGTTTCATGACATTGGTTAACAATCCCATGACATGTCAACACTCTCCATTCTCAACCTTGGAGGACTTTTTTTTTTTTGGTGAAACTGTACATAGCCAAAGATACACCATTTCAAAAATTTCTACATGCACAATTCAGTGACATCGATTACATTCTTCCAGTTGTGCTGGTATTCTCACTTTAGATGAAGGTTTACAGAATAAAACAGTTTCTCATTAAAAAGTTGGTACACATATTGCCCTTTGACAATGGTTAACAACCCTACTACATCTCAACACTGTCCTTGCTCAACCTTTGGTTCCCTATTACCACCTTTCCCATCCCCTTCTGCCTTCTAGTCCTTGTCCCTGGACTGCTGTGCCTCATTAGTTCCATTTTGTTTTATGGGGCTGTCCAATCCCTGGCTGAATGGTGAACCTCCGGGAGTGACTTCATCACTGAGTTAAAACGGTGTCCGGGGGCCATACTCTCGGCATTTCTCCAGTCTCTGCCAGGCCAGTAAGTCTGATCTTTTTTTGTGTGTTAGAATTTTGTTCGACATCCTTTTCCAGCTCTGTCCAGAACCCTCTGTTGTGATCCTGGTCAGAGCAGTCGGTGGTAGCTGGTCACCATCTAGCTGTACTGGCCTCAGTCTGGTGGAGGCCTTGGTGGCTGTGGTCCATTAGTCCTTTGGACTAATCTTTTCCTTATATCCTGTTCTTTTCATTCTCTCTTGCTCCTGAAGTAGTGAGACCAGTGGAGTATCTTAGA